ATGGACCAGACTGCTTCTTTCAGCATGGTTGCATCAGAGGTGAATTCTTCCCATTGCACCACTCTACTTGACAGAGGGGCATTTTAGTTTCATTTCAGTTTCCTGTGTAGGTAACCAGCAAAGGAACAGAAGATACAAGAGAAACATGAAAAGATACATTTTATGTAAATATTGTAAATGCATAGCAGCATTGTGCCTAAGGTATCCCCCAAAGGAAGCCAAGGAGTGTGTTCCTTAGATCATAACTTTCTCTTAGTCCTTAAAGTAGTCTAAGGTCTTTGACAAGTATAGAAGTAGGTGACCTGGGAGATCAGAAAGTTTGCTTTCACTGCCTCTTGACCATCCATTTGCACCACTTAACTCCATATCTCTTATTCTAATGTAAATGCTTTGAAACTGTGGCTAGGCATAATCCGCTTAAAGTATAATCATAAAAAGTGGGGTGATCCCTTGAGAAGTCTGCCATGGCACAACAGCAACCAAGAAATTATAGTTAAAACTTAAGTTTCAAAACCCCTCAATGGCATTGTTTCTTTGTAGATATTAGTTCTTACTATCTTCTTGGATACCTGGTATATATTCAACACGTATTTTTCTCAAGGAAAGTTGAAATGTCACACAGCTTTTGTGGATTTTGCAGGCATTTTTAGTTAATTATCTCTCTTTTAAAGTGATGTACTTTATGTTGGGTTTTTTAACCACAGAAAGAACTTTTTGCAAGCCTTTTTAATTCTTGAATGCAATTCTGAAAGAAAGTAGGCACTTCTCACTTAAGATATGTCAAAGTTTTAGCCAGCTGCTAGCCAGTAAGTCATAAAAAGATTCCTGTGAGGTAGGCAATGCATGTTATCTTTTATACATGCAGACATAGCACTGTTGTACCACCTGAAATTCCATCAGGCTCCAAGCTCTGCAGAAAGTGACAAATGCTGGACAGGTATACGATTTATAATGGATGAGCTATGCAAGCAAGCTCTGGGAGTTGGACTGGATTTGATTACAAACAATAATGTGACACAAACCCTGCTGTGGATAGTACACACATTGTGAGAGGCAGTGCAATCAGGCAGCATGAACACTGGACTGCAGGCACGATCCGAAGCCCTAAATCCACCTTTGCAGTACACCTACTGTGTGGCTTTGGGAAAGCCTTGTCTGATCTAACAGTCTGTCTTCCAATTCCATATCTGTTTGTTTAGCAACAGCATGTTAAACAATCATACCTCACTAAGCCACTTCAATGCAATTTATAGCTCAGCATGATAGTAGGCTTTGGAGAGGCTTTTTAAAGGAATTATATGAAAAGACAAGAAGTTATTTGAATAATTTTGTGCAGTTGCTGGCAATGAACTTGGAAACTTTTCCATGAAGTAACTTTTCTCCATCAACAAAATTTTCCCCAAGGGACCACCTTCTGCCCCTGCAAGAATGAGTGCGCTTCCAGTACAAAAGTGAATGGTAGAGATACTGATATTCCTGCATTGGCCAACATTCAAGTATTGAGCAGTACTGAATGCAAAGCTTTTCTGCTCCTGGATGGGGATGAAAAAATCTCCGTATCAAGCCATCATCTGGGAGTGCTGGGCATGCCCACAGAATTTACAAACTTGATGTTTTCCAAGTCAACTTCAGACTCTCTTCATTCATTGGACAGATCAGGCTTCCTGAGTGATTGCATCTGCTCACATTGTCAATGCACAGAAGTATGTTGGTGATGGTCATTCGACATTGGTTACATTAGCAGCCCAGTAGGACCTGAACCTGCAAAATTTTAGGTGAAAAAAAAAGCTCTTGAGGCATTTTTTCCTCTTTTTCTTCCCTCTGGATTCTGCCTCTTGTTTTATGTATTGGCAGAAGAAAGAATGTGCAAATCAAAATGTCCATTAAAGAGAGTATTGGTCTTGTGGAGAATGGAAGCTTGAAGATTTAATTTTTAAGAATGTAATTCAACAGCTGATCAAAGGCATGACTCATTAATGAAACTGAGGTCTACACCATTAGGATGGCTGTTCTAGCAAGTAAATCGCAACACGTGCAACAATATAATCTTTCTTTCTTCAGCAGATTCATACATTTAGGAGAACCGCATTTCAATAAGTGTGGATTTTTGTCCAATGGTAAACAAACATATCAGTACTATTTCTGTATATCCGTATCTATGCTTTAGACTGCAATTTTGCAAGGCTGCTTATATCACTGTTTGGCAATATTTCAAGGAAAGCATCCTGAAAGAAAATCATATACTCTGTGGTGAACACTAATGTGAATAATTATTAAATATTAGTCTTTTGATTGCTCTGAGCTACATGCAAACGCACAAAATAATAAACTTATTGCAATGTAATGTAACCACCCCTTTGTTTGTTTTAGTTTGTCAAGAAACTTCATTTATTTTACACTCTGGGCTTCTTTACCATTCTTCTCTTATGTTATCAGAATCATAGTGATCCCTCTGTCCTATGTTACCTCATGTTATCTCAAATTGATACTTCCAGCATTCTTTTAATTATTGGCCATATTTTCCAAATTCTAGCTGAAAGGCATAACTCCAGGAGCCAAACATGTTCTGTGCTCCAAAAATGTTGCAGTAGATGGCTTCTCCTCCACCTCGAATGCTTTTGCCTGTCCCCTACTACATGCCTGTCCCAAGTGCCCTGCATACAACATATGGCATTCTGACAAATCCATTCTTCCAAGCTGTGGCCTTTAGGAGTGCCCTGTGGGAGCAAAAGGGTTTGGGGAGCATTGCAGTACAAACCCCCCCCCACTATAGTTTGCTATAGAGAAAGTTTTGTCTCTTCCTGTCCAGTTGTGCACATAGGATATGAAACGGTCCCTCATTCCTCTCTATGAGCTGCATGTATTACAAGTTATGCTTCTGTAGGGTGTCTTTGCATTAATTTCTATACTGGAGTCTGTGGAAGCAGTAAGGGCATGTTGTATTTGTAGTCTTGGTTCTGGTTATCAAAGGTTTGTCCAGACTGCTAAGCTATCACAGGTGAGGAAATGGCCTGCACAAGATAAAGAGCTGGTCTAGATTAGTTTTTACCTCATGGGAATGGGAAGGGTCTTTCCGCCTCAGTGTACATACCTACAGATGGAATTGGTGAATAGTATTCCTTGCTCTCTGAGATGCTTCACGCTATGGTTAGTATTTGTCTGTGCAGTTGCTTTCTTGTATACACACCTTCTCCATTCTTTGTTTTCATACGCCTTAGATTATATTTCCACTTACTACCCTCTTGGCTTTGGGGCATTTAGATACGAGTTCTGATCATGGAGTTGATGGGAGTGTACCCTTACTTCTCCAGGCTGATTTCTTTTGCATGAAATACCATGCATGTTTTTAATCTGGTGGTCACTCTGCTTTATGTTGAAACACAAAACTTCCATTAGGAACTTTCCTGATGGAAATATATTGGTGTTACCAGTCCTCCTTCTCTGCATTATTCAGGTTCTTTGTTGAAGTCACATACATGACTATAATTCTTGTAAAGGCATATTTGTAGCTTGATTCCTGCCTCTGGTGAAAGAAAATTTAGAGCAGCTATGATTATAGGAATGGATGACCAACAGCTCTTCCTACCAAGCCTTTTACTTTTCCTTCATAAAGCCTATACTGGCTTACCCGTTCTGCCTCATCTTTCTCTGTCTTCTATTCTTTTTTTCTTCGCTTATTCCAGTTCATGGCTCATTGATTTCATAAGTCATACCAAGACCTCAGGTTCATCCCCAGGGCATAGACATCTAGAAAGCTGAAATAGGGATGTCGGCATGAAAAGAAAGTGGAGATGACTTGGCTTTATCTGCCAATCCACAAATAACTTGGTGAACAGAATTTCTGGCCATGAAATCTGAATGCCATTTTAGAAATAACAAATTTGATTCATTCCCAGTTTACTTTGGCTTCTGCTGATGGAAATTAGAATACAGAGTGGCGTTGGCAAAGCAGTATACAGAGTGCAAAATAGTGCAATGACCTTGTAAGCCATTCCTCTTGGGATCTTACAGCTGTCTACCACAACCCCTAAGATGTTGATTAAAGTGGGTGAGGCTGGAGACCCAGGTGACTTATTCAGGGCATAACGCCAGAAAGCATCATGTTCCTGTGATGTTCTGGCTGCTGCTTAAAGCTGTTCTTCCTTGGTGACATCCTTGTGGCACACTTCTTGCCTTCCTGAATTTAATGAATGCCCTAGCCAATTTGAAAGTGTCTCTGGGAGATAAAGTTTGCTCCTCTGTGCCAGCAGGTTGATGTGAGCCACTGGTTTCCAAGCCTCACATTTGGAGCACATGCTAGCAAAATATGACAGACCTTTACTGCCAGGAGTAAGTCAGCAGTGCAAGTGCACCCTATTTCATAAGAGGAACTTTACAGCTTTTAGATGTGAATGATAAGGAGCAGTGCTAATTTCAAAGGCACACACATTTTATTGGGTATTTTTGCTACGTATTCATTGCACAAGAAATTTTACAGCTGAGTGTTTTATTTCCTGACATCTGCTGTATAAAGACATGACAAAGCTCTTTTCAGAGCATCCTTTATTTTACAACTATGGTTTTCTCCTTCTTTATATAACCACACCAGTTCATGTTATGAGTTCTTGCTATGCTGTGTACAGTGGCATCCTGTTCGCCTCTTCTCTAGGCAGCCTTCCATTTTTTCAAATTTCCATTGGCTTCACTGGTAAGCTTGTCTGAGCAAAGGCTGCTGGTCAGCTCTGGTGCCTGTCCTGTGTGCAGAGGTGTAGCCCTTCCAAAGGTTTGTTTTCATTGCCTCCAGTGAAGTCCAACTCTTACCACAGAACTGCACTGGCAGAACCACAGGCTGTTATTGATGGGAATGTGTTTCCTGCCACAACCTGAAGTCTGAGGCCAGTTGACCTCAGTGGGCAGTATGCCCCACAATGTAACAGAATAAGAATTTAATCCAGAATATTTTTAATACAGTAGGTATTACTGAAACCTCCATAACTCCCTTCCCTCTCTTCAATTCACAGCTACCTCATCCCTGAACTCCCAGCTTCAACAGCTTCAGCATCTTCAGCAGCTCCAGCATCAACAGCAGCAGCAACAAGGTCAGCAACAGCAACAGCAGCAAAGCCAGCAGCAGCAGCAAGGTCAGCAGGCACAGACTCCACAGCCACCCCAGCAGACCCAGCAGCCACAGCCGTCAGCACCACCACAGCAGAACCAAACACAGTCCCAGAGCCAGAGCCAACCGCCTCCAGCCCCACAGTCCTCCAGCTCCCCCCAGAAACCTAGCCAGTCACCAGGGCATGGCCTTCCATCTCCTCTTACTTCACCAAATCCATTGCAGGTAGGACGCTATGTACAAGTCTCTGACGGTCTAACAACAGAAAGTGCATACTCTCCCCCTGCAAGGGGAAATCATGTGAAGGTTACACCTTCTGACCATACAGGCTGAGAAATTCTACCTCGTATTAGTTAATCCTTAAGGCATGCAGCTTAGAACAGCTAAAAGGCCTGATAAACCAGAAAAGCATAACTAATGATGGTCCTAGTCTGCTCCTCTTTTGCTTTTAAAGTCCATATCATATAACCCATAGAAAATGATGTAATTTTTTCCATGGATTCAGCATGTGACCTTTGCAAATGGCGTTCGTCCAGCAGTCATTCACCCTTTGTGGTAACTTATGAGGACAGCAAAGTTAGCTGTTCATTAGCAGATGATCCTGACTGTTCCTAAAAGAAATTAAGCTTCTGCTGGTGGATATGTGCAAGGGATGGATGGGTTATCCTTCCTCTTAAAATGACAGTCCCAACATTTATCCTGCTAAGAATCAAATACTTCTGTTAAGAGTCTCAGTATATATTCCAAAGCTAAGAATGCCAGTTAATGCCTTTCCTAGATGCTCACTCCAATGACACAGATGTTTTCTAATAGACCAACATCTGTGGCACCTACACTAATGCTGGGCTCTGCCTGTCTTGGAATTCCCAGGCAGAAACAGAAGAGCTCTGATCCAGTGGTCCTAATTTCTTACTTGGGTTTTCTCGCACTACATGTGTCATGCTATATTCACGTCCTGCAAGAACAGCTTTGACAGTACCCACAAGTATGAGTCTGAATAAACACCAGGGTGGTCTGTGAAGTGAGCAGAGTGTCTTTAACTGGGCAGTTGAACTGCACTTAGAAACCAGCAAAGTCTCTATTCACTTTATTCTCTAAATTTTGAGACCCCACTTTAAAGGTTTTATCCACACTGATGGATTCGGCTCCATTTCCTGCAGAAATTAAACTGCATTAGCTTAGTAATTAAAAAATCCTTTTTCAAACAATTAAGGGAATTGGTTTACAAGAAGCTGTGTTTGCCATGTGGCCAGTTAAACCTGCATTAATCTGAGCTTCAACTAAATTGCATCAAATCTGATTTTTTAATGGTTTAGATAATAGACTTAAAAGTCCACAAGAGAGGTGTCCTTGCTTCCTGAGCTTTTGCTTATAGTAGAGCATAATGTTCCTAGAGCTTCTTCTGTGTATTGTCTTAAGGGTTACTTAGGCACCACTTAATGCCCAGTCTATCATGCTAGTGAGTGCTTTGGGACTCTTTAGTATGCAGATTATTGACAGACAGGAATATTTCCAGAGGAGCTTCTGTTACATTTTATTGTCTTAGTACAGCTGTAATGTATGGACACTAACTGTATATGCTATATGTTGCTAAAACTGCCTGCTAAATATTGTGCTACAAAAGGCATTCAGTTTTCCAAACAAAGCAAATGCACACATAAGTTAGAGTTGGGGTAGGGAGGAAGTTGGATTATCTTAGTGAACATATCTCAGGAGGGTTGTACTAACGCTGAATCTGAAGTCTTAGCTCTCATACAGCCTCTGGTCCCAGGGTGAATCTCAACTGAATTGGAGTACTTCCAGTCTCATCTGTGACCTACAGGTACAGGCCAGTAGAAGCACTTTCTACTGTTAGCTCTCCAGGGTCACATCTCACTTGCAGAAGTACAATAGAAGTAAGTAAAACCAATAATTCCTTGCACAGGAGGTGCCAATGTCAATGTTTTCATGGAGATACCTTGGCACATTGCTCTCTTTAGCATGCTTATCTTCACAACTACCCTTCTGAGGGCAGTCTGGATGTGGCAGACTCAACAGAAGTGGAAGGAGGGAATGAGGTACTCTGAGGTGGTTTTAGTTCAAACACTATCCCCTAAGCCTTTTAGGAACTGAGATTAGAGTTAATGAAAGACACTAGCATGAGAGGTCTGGCATTCCCACTGGGCTGAGCTCAGCCAGTACTGCTAAGCCAGCTGCGTGACTGGGACACTTTCAGAACAGTCAAGGAATTAGAAGTCATTAGCTGTCAGCTCTGGCTCAACATTAAAGAGTTACTAATAAATTGGGGGATAAGTATTTTTAATGTTCTTTCCGCTCTGATTCTTGCCATTTAAATAGCCATGAAAACCCAAAGTTTGTTCACAGATACAAATACGCTGTGTGCTGACATCCAGAAGAGAAGCCAGAATTCAGGATGGTACTTCAGGCCTCACCTTAGTGATGTGTGTAGGGCCATTAGTTTGGCCTTCTAGCTATTTCTACAGCATTTCTACAGCAAGTGTAATACTTCTTAAGCTTCCCTAAGAAATGCTAAAGAACTTGAAACATGGTCTGTCATATTGCTGAGAATGGTGAGACTCTTAAATATGCAAACAAGGGACGCTCAGAAATATTTCTAGAGGAACTGCTGTTGCACTTTATATATGGTTGAAGGATGTGTTTGGGTACTTTTCTGAAGCAGAGCAGTGGTAAGATCTCTATGAAATTTGGCTTTGCATTCTAAACCCTGCAGTGAAAAGGTTTTTTACCCCCGTACATCTAGCTTGAGGACTGGATCTGAAATTTTTTTCTTCTGCACAAACATAAAAAAAAAAAAGAAAAAAAAAAGGAGGGAGCACACGTTTCACAGCAGTTCATATATCCAGTTCATAATAGCTACTTAGAATGTGGATTTTTTTTAATGTCTAATGCTTTAACTTAAAAATCGACCTAGAACAAAATTCAGAGATATTATGGCCTCTAAGGTAATGTTCTTTATGAACTAGAATGAAATGGGTTTTGTTTGAAGAATATTAAGGGAATAAAGATCAACTAAGTTAAAGTTTGACAGCTTAAATTTCATTTCTGAATTCTTGATTTTTTCATGTGGGCTTTATCCTCTTACATTATTCAGGATCTGTCTGAAAGATATTAGTTTAGAACAATGCAACCTCAAAAAATTGTCATGGAAAGTCAGTAATTCAGGAGGATGATTGTGTTTGTTTCAAAAAACTCTGAAGGATAACAGCAATTACATCTCAAAATGTACAGATGCTGTCATGTCCTTCAGAAGGCAAATTAAATGAAAGTGACTTGCTTAGGTATACCTGGGTGAGGTACTTTTGCTAGCTGATCAGAAATTAATAATACCAGTGCATTGTACACCAGCTAAAAGTCTCAGAACGATTCTTGTCAGATTGTTCTGTAATACTCTGCTCTAATTTTATCACTCTTCTTTACTCAGTTCAGTGGGCTGGATTGTAGTTACAAAACTATTATTTTTAGGAAGTCTTTTAATGATTGTGTAGAAAGATGAAAAACCTCACTTTAGGTTCCAGTGCCTGGATTCTGTGCTGACATTAGTGATGATGCTCTAGATTTATGCTGGTAAAAGCAAAACACTGCAGAACCAGAGTCATCGCTGATTTGCAAAAGGCAACAAACCAGAGGAGAATTTTCCAAAGCAGAGCTGTGTTTCAGGAGGTGGTGGGTGAGGTAGATGACGGAAGACTTTCATCCTTTCATTTTAAAATGGTGAAATTCCTCATATAGATAATCGTAGTCTGATTTTTACTTTCATTGCATCAATTGATTTAGACAAAGGAATCCAGAGGTGAAAGACAACCTGTCTGATGCTGCATATCAGGGACTTTGAAGCCTTTACTTCTGGGAAAATACACTTCTCCAAATATGCTTCTCCTGTGAATGTTTAGTGTTATTACATGGCAAATTACACAGGTTCTTGAATGGTCAGCATGTTGCAACTTCAAAGCATAGTTAGCACCTCTTACAGGGTTTCCATTCAATTAAATTTCTGGAGCCATAAGATCTTGATTATATGCTGTATAAAATCAGATGAGCCAAGTACTAAGGAGCCAATTATTCTGCTTGACTACCAGAATAAGGCACTTTGTATCAGCAACATATATTTAACTGGCTCCAAATGGAGGTTAGCTTCTGGTGCTGACACTCACTGTATGTTTTAGTGCTATGGATAAGATGAACGTACCCACAGCTAGATCTACAAAGGGAGAGCTGCACTATAGGAATAGAAGAATTCCCAATGATTTCTACTGTTCTGTTCATGTGCGAATAGGAACAGACAAACAGGAAATCCCCCAGGGATTGCCCCACTGTAAAATTATTCTGACCGTTTTCAGAACTCTTTCCTAAAGCACCTTTTTGTTATAGAAGCCTACCTACAACAACTGCAGCTGACGGAAGATGATGCGTGAGAAAAAAACAATAATAAAAGGAGGGAAGAAGGGAAGTGAGGAGATGACAACAGCAGAAAAATCTTCCAAGTAATAGCAAACTCTAGGATAGCAAAACCAGAACCTCTTTCAGATTAAATTTTCATACTAATCTTAAATAATGTATTTGGAACCTCAACACTTTTATAACAAAGGAGAAAAGAAAAGCAGAAAGGCTGAAACACTCACTGTAAATGAGAGAGAATGTGTCCACAGATGCCTGAGGCTCCAACAGTCACAAAAACCAAACCGCCCTTTCCCTTCCCCCACAACCTCATTCACTGGTTAGCTTCTCATTAAGGAAAAATCTACGTTAAAGAAATCTCAGTGTTTAGTGACACTTTGATAATTTACATATATTTAACATACAAAAGAAAGAACCAAGTGTCTGTTGGTTTGAGGAAGGCAGCTGGGATAAGTTTGCAAGGCCTATAGTCATGGGCTGTCTTTATGTCTGTGATCATATCCAAGACCTGCTGTATTTTTCTCATGCTTATTGAATCCTGAGATCAGGAAAACTTGATCAAGATTATGACACCAGTAATCCCACTGAGGGGTTTTTTTGGTTTGCTAAAATTATCTAGCCTTCTTCCTGCATATGATACTGTGCAATGTATGACTGAATCTGTTCTCAAGTTACTTAGCAATCAGTTTGACAAAGAAATATTTTATAAACAGTGAGCAAGCGCAGTGCTTTGAACACATTTTCCAAAATTTCCTAATTTTTGGTTTCAATAGGGAGTGAGATATTGCGCATCACAAGGCAATAGATAA